TCTTCATAAAGTATGTGTTGTTTACTTTCTGTAGGTCCTTCTTAAGTCTTCATAAAGTATGTGTTGTTAACTTTCTGTAGGACCTAATTAAGTCTTCATAAAGTATGTGTTGTTTACTTTCTGTAGGTCCTTCTTAAGTCTTCATAAAGTATGTGTTGTTTACTTTCTGTAGGTCCTTCTTAAGTCTTCATGAAGTATGTGTTGTTTACTTTCTGTAGGTTTTGAAATCATACGAGAAAGACCAAATAACAGAGAACATGAAAGAATACAATGGCAAACTTACATGGCAGTGTGTGGCTGTTGACGACTTGAAATCATACAAGAGAGACCAAATAACACAGAACATGAAAGAATACAATGGCAAACTGACAGTTACCACAGCAAGTTTTCTGAAAGCTATTTTGATTGAGGCCATCTTGTGGTGACAATCAAAATTATAAATGACTGAGATCTTCCAACTTTTATCTATTCTCTTCTACGTCAATGGTAAACTGGAGGGGAAAAAAAACAGACACATACACATATATATATATCATACACACCTAGTTATGTATCAAGTACATATATTACTTGAAAATTATTAGCTTATTTTTTAACTAATTCATTTGAAACCTCATGTCTTGTTAAAGAAAACCAGTATCCTATCATAAAACCAGTATCATATCATAGAAACTAGTATCATATCATAGAAACTAGTATCATATCATAAAAACCAGCATTGTATCATAAAACCAGTATCATATCATAAAAACCAGCATTGTATCATAAAACCAGTATCATATCATAAAAACCAGCATTGTATCATAAAACTAGTATCATATAATAAAAACCAGCATCGTATCATAAAACTAGTATCATATTATAAAAACCAGCATTGTATCATAAAACTAGTATCATATTATAAAAACCAGCATTGTATCATAAAACTAGTATCATATTATAAAAACCAGCATTGTATCATAAAACTAGTATCATATTATAAAACCAGCATCGTATCATATTATAAAAACCAGCATCGTATCATAGAAACCAGCATCGTATCATATTATAAAACCAGCATCGTATCATAGAAACCAGCATCGTATCATAGAAACCAGCATCGTATCATAAAAATCAGTATTATATTATAAAACCAGTATCATATCATATTATAAAAACCAGCATCGTATCATAAAACCAGCATCATATCATAGAAACCAGCATCATATCATAGAAATCAGCATCATATCATAGAAACCAGCATCGTATCATAGAAACCAGCATCGTATCATAGAAACCAGCATCGTATCATAGAAACCAGCATCGTATCATAGAAACCAGCATCGTATCATAAAACTAGTATCATATCATAAAAACCAGCATCGTATCATAGAAACCAGCATCATATCATAGAAACCAGCATCGTATCATAAAACTAGTATCATATCATAAAAATCAGTATTATATTATAAAACCAGTATCATATCATAAAACCAGTATCATGTTATAAAAACCAGCATCGTATTATAAAAACCGGTATCATATTTTTATATGCAATACCCTATTTTGAAAAGCAGAGGTACCACATCGACGGTGTCAATCATCCAACACCTGACAGAATCTAGAAATGTACATCAGGTCTACAGTAGGAAGAGTTTCAATGCCACATAGATGGGCAGTAATCCCTGTCTGCTTTACTCGTGTGTATCCACGAGTGTATGGTCTGAGACAAACATATTTATGAAGCAAAAGACCACTGGAGAAAAATACTAGCAGTCCTATGAAACACTCCATCTCCATGGTGCACATAACCCAATCTGGTGATATAATTGTTTCAGCACAGATGACAATTGAATGGAGATGCACAACCAACACCCAGCAGCATATGGAATTGTACATCAGGTCCGTGGCAGGAATAACTACAACATGATTGACATCAATCATGGTCACAGAACGTACAGTGTGGAGTTAAAAAAAAAAAGTATACCTGGTCAGGCACTACTTGCTACAGAGTGGGATCCACAATACACTAGCAAAAAGGCCTCTATAAATAAATAACAAAACAAAGTAAAGAAAACTAAGTCTGTAGTATAAAGGAAAATGTCAACAATTTTTTGAGAAAAACAAGCATGAATATCTTAATATTATAAGAATAATATCTTAAATTAGGACAGCAATGAGCTCATAAATAAGGCAAAATCATAGCAGTTGCAATCTTTCAGCGGGCCTGACTACTGCCAATCGATAGGCGATTAAAGAGTACAAATGTGGAGAAAATTAAAAATGTGTTATTAATGGACCCCGTTCTAACTCGACCCTTGTTACTAGTAATGACTAAGACATTAGTTTTGGAATTTGCATTTTCTTAACATAACACAATAATGTTTTTGGACAACATGGGACCTATTGGTCTATCTCAATTGTCCCATCCTTTAAACTAAAACAATTAGACAAAAAAAATCTTGAAGCCAGTTCTTATCATTCATATACTTATCAAACGTTCTTCTTAACTAACTGCCTGAACAACATCTGAAGGCAACCCATTCCAAAGGACAACCACCTTGTTATAAAAATGAAACTCTGAAGATGACTCCTACCTTGCCAAAATTTATGTGTGTCCCCTTGTCCTACTATTCTTAATGTTAAATATAAAAAAGATGATGCATTAACACTATCAATTCACTTTACAATCTTAAACACCTCAATCAGATCCCCTCTAACTCTTCAAGAGAAAACAATTTCAGAGATCTTAATTTCTCCTCTTATGACAACCCCTCCATCCCAGGCACTATTTTAGTAACCCTCCTTTATACTCTTTCCAACACTTCAATGTCCTTCCTAAGGTAAGGAACCCAGGACTGAACACAATACTCAAAATGTGGCCTAAACAGTGAAATTATAACCTCTTTAGACTTGTATTCATTAATGATATTGATAGAAGCATAATTAGTAAACTAGTAATAGTTGCATATGGATTTAAGCTCTTGGGTATTTCTAGGTATATTGAGGTATTACAGAATAACGTAATCAATTGGTTAGTTGAACAAATAGTTTTGGATTATATGTTTAATATAGACAGGGCCCTAATCATCATCATGACCAAAGAGTAGAATCTTGGCATGATAGTGGATAACTAGATCAAGCCATTGAGGCAGTGCTCTGTTGCAAGGTTAACAGAAGTTTAGGTGTATTTATATATGTTAATTACAAGTCAAGAGAGTTAAATATTTCTTTATACAAATTGCTAGCTAAGCCTCACATGGAATACTGTGTACAGTTCTGGTCTTTCTATCTAAGAATGTATACCGACTTATTGGGAACGATTAAAAAGAGAGCTAATTACATGATTCCCGGAATGACAAATTAAGGTCTTTTAACATGTTTTCTCTTGAGAAAAGAGGTGATCTTATTGAAACTGGACTCCAATTAAAATAGTTTTATTCTTTAACAGGATGAGCTGTAGTTGGTAGTAGTGGAGTCTGGCACTTAACAAGTTTAAATAAGAAATTAATAATTTCTTTGAAAATAAATGGTAAATTTAACTTTTTTTTAAGGGTGGGTGTGCAAGGACAGCCTTGAGGGATAAAACAGTCCTTTACTGTCCATATGTTATATTACAAGATGCCAGACCTTTACCACTGTTTTTTTAAGAGAATTAAAAGAATATCTTATTGGATAGTGTCTGAAATCAAAGATTCATTCTTTGGCTCCAGTTGCTTCATGGCCATTAGGTGTAGAATATTTAACTGAAGTTGATTTGGGGATTTAAAACTCTACTTTTATTATTCTGTTGAATAGAATGGATGTCTTAACTAGGATTTAATTTTTAAAGAAGATCACATAAGCTGTATATCTAACATTTTCAACAACAACAAAAGTCCAGAAAGTTAAAGGTTTGTTTCTAGAAAATTTTTGAAAATTCTGTGGCCCTGTCCTTATTCACATCCAGTTGATCCCTAAAAAATAAACCAGAAACATAGTGCTGCAGATTACTCCTGATGACATTATCAGTTCTTAACATCAAAAGTAGATTGTAACTGGAGATTTAGCTTTAAGTCTCAGTGCTAACAGTAATGTTACTAATTATAACTAAAACTATTATAAATATAATGACAACAGATTTGTGCCTAATTATGGCATTAGAATTACTGACTCTATTTCCATAACTTTTAGGATTTAATTCCAAAGGTCTGTGGGTAAGCTAAAATTTTTAATATATTTTTTGATAGCTTATTACTAGTATTAGTTAGTACTAGTAGTACAAACAATAATAGAAGTACTATTGTACTTGATCTGAAATTGTGTAATCTAGAATCTAAGTTATCGTACTTGAAGTTGAACTCTCTAGTCTTAGCTAGTTTTTAAACAATAAATAAAAGGTACATTTAGGAACTTTATCATTAAACTTAAAGTGTAAAGTGCCTTTTGATTATATAGGATGTATTAACAGTAAGTTGACTTCCAAACTCTCTCAACTAAAACAAATCTAATCCCAAAATTTAGGAAATAAAGGAAGGAACCAGAACTGCATTAACTGTATACTGTTGTATTAATTTAAATATTATTAGTGCCAATAGTAATAAGATGTTAAATTTGAAATTAATTCACGATTCAGCAGATTCGTTAGGGCAAACTCACAGCACGATCCACCATATTAGTTATTACAATTTACAAATGTTTGAATAACAAAGAATACTCCAAACTATTTTCATTATTTAAATTTATTTTCAATAAATAAATCAAATTTACTGTTGTCCTATAAAACCTTTGAAGAAATTGAATGATAGTCTAACTTATTGGCTAACTCACCATTTCCTTTTCATCGTAATTACAAAAGCTCCGCCAACTAGCTAGAAAACCAAGGCCAAATGTTGCTAAGTTTATAGGTTTTAAGAGTGCAACAAAACCGAAAAAAAAGTTATTAATAATATCAAGTATAAATCACAAATAAAATTTCTTGAGGTTTTATATAGACAAGTTTAGTTCTATTAAAATGAAACATATTTGTAGGGATAAAAATGAAACTAGTTTAATTAATTTAGATAATTTCCACGTGTTCAGTTCTTAATGGATACTTCGATTTGTCGCAACGGTGCCCATGGCAACACCGATCATTCTCGCAAATTGTTATACGAAAGTTTACAAAACTTAGAAAAACGATTTTGTGATTAACGAATTCAGATATGCTTATGATAGCTTTTCGAAAACCCATTTTTTAAGTTCTCAGACGTAAATTTAAGTAAACTGTGCAGCATATTTTTATCGTGTGTTTGCTTATTTGTTGAATTTCACGCAAATCTACTCGTGGGTTATCTA